TATATATATATTATGTTATCAAAATAAGGGAATCTAATTTTTTTTTCTTCAATATGTCAACTCACTTTGGATTATCCAAATCATCAGCTTTCTCCCTACCAACTAATCAACAAATTATATATACGCAAAATTTTTATTTTTATTTATTCATTTTCTAAACTTATTTCACTTTCACTAATTTGTGAACCTCATACAATTACATGTTAGTTACTCATCATTGTCATTAATTCCCTCTTCATTTTATTTATTTGTCAAACTAACATTATATTTAGTTTGGCAACACATTTAGTAAAATAGATTTAGTTTTTCATGTTACCAACGCAAGCAACTCTTTAACTTTAAAATTTTCATGTTTTTTTACATGTGGTGTGTGGTTTAAATGCAAAACCAAACACACACTAGGACACTTTCAATCGAGTTTTTTTTTTTCTTGTGTTGATCATAATTTTCTTTTCCTTTTGCCACACATATCATTTTTTTAATCTTTCTATTTAGTTTTATGTCATTTCAGAAATATAATTTAGAATTTATTATTTGTCTTGTTCAATATATGTGCAATCGTTACGAAAAAGAGTCTCATAAAAAAATCCTACCTTAAGGACAATTAGGGGTGAGCAACGGGTGGGTTTGGTCGGGTTCGAGTGAAAAATGTCCAACCCATTGTAAATCGATTTTGAAAAAATGTGACCCATATCCGACCGACTGAGCTTTCGATTTGAGGCGGTTCGGGTTGAAACGGATTCGGATTTAAGCGGGTGGGTATAATCGGGTTTGAATTTTTTTGTAAACCAATTTATCTTAAGAAAGATGATGCTTAAAACAATAAAAAAATATTTTTAAAATAGTGTATAAAAATAGAATGAAGGTGACAATAGATGGTGTAAGTAGATTCGTAGTTGAAACATTTACAAACTAAAGAAGCAAAAATAAAAGATAACAAAATTCATAGTTGTTACATGGAAAAGAAATATAAAGTTAGATTACAAAATCATAAGAAATCACAGTCACACAAAATGTACTCAAAATGGAGATAAGAAGATGGAAAAGAAAGACAAAGAAAGAAGCAAAAAGATAACTCTAAAAATGGACTAGTGTGTTGAGAAGTTGAATGAGGAAGGAGAAGACAAAATAAATATCTAAGTTATGAGAAAAAGGAAAAAAATAAGTTACAAATTGATGAAAGAAAGAAGCAAAAAGATAACTCTAAAAATGGACTAGTGTGTTGAGAAGTTGAATGAGGAAGGAGAAGACAAAATAAATATCTAAGTTATGAGAAAAAGAAAAAAAATAAGTTACAAATTGATGGCTATATTATACTTGAAATAAAGACTTTTAAGTTTGGACCATTGTTGTTTAGTTATACAAAAGTAATAAAAATTTAAACTTATCTCATTTTCGGTTGGGTTCGGTTTTTGGCAGGTTTAAAAATTCAAAACCGAACCCGCCCAATATAACCCGTATAAAATCAAAATTTTAACCCGATTTACCCATAAGACTCGCCCGAACCCACCCAAAAACAATATTTTTTATCGAGTTTTTCGGGTTCGGTTCAGGTGTCGGTTTAATGCTCACCCCTAAGTACAATAATAAGAATTTTAGAAAAACCACATCACAAAGTTAAGCCTCTAGAATTAGAGAATTCAAGACTTTATAAAACGCATTGCCTAAAAGACATAGTGAAAAGATTTGACATCGATTAATAAGAGCCTTGAAATATCATTTCAGAAACTAGTCATTTCCATACTTTCAAAATGAAACTTAAGTTGCATACCTGTAATTGAATCCTAAACTTTATCCTTCATGGCAAAAATTGACCCTTCTGTTTTTGGTGCTTTAAACTGACCCCTGTTCACCCCAATTCTCAGTAATTGACTATTACAATGGCACATACATATGTCACGCTGGGACATAGAGTGCATGAAAATCCCGTGCCTCTCTATCTGTGTCACAATTGCTACCTAACTAATTATTTTGCACACCGCAAAAATTCATACATATTCCCACATTAAAATAATTATAAAAAAAAAGCCCTTTGTTGATTGCAACCGCGATGATGAAAGAAAACTTTCCAAGGAAAGAATAAATCCTCACCAAATTATATGCTAATCCTAACACAATATTTTATGCATAACTTAGTATGATCTAGTATAATAATGACACATCCTATAATGTCATAAAATATTCACTTACCAAAAAAAATAACAATAGAAACTGCAGTAGTGACAGGAGAAGAAGAAGAAAGAGAAAAAACGCATTAACTCTCCACTTTCCATGTCAAGCACTTCTCTATTTAAGCCACTCTCTCCCTTCAATCCAAACTCACATTCTCAAACATCAAAAAAACCAACTTCCTCTTTCTCTCTCTCTCAACTTCCAAAACTGCTTCATTGAAACCAGTCTCATAAAAATCAAATCTTTAACATACCCAAGAGGCCAAACCTCACAAAAATGGAGAATTTGTTTCGCCTAGTTGACTACGAGGACATGTTCTCAAAACGGTGCATTTGGGTCAACGGACCCGTTATCGTAGGTGCAGGTCCTTCGGGGCTAGCCACAGCAGCATGCCTTAAACAACAAGGGGTACCCTTCATGGTTCTGGAAAGAGCAGAATGCATAGCTTCCTTATGGCAAAAACGCACCTACAACAGGTTAAAGCTTCACCTTCCGAAACAGTTTTGTCAGCTTCCGAACCTTCCATTCCCTCAAGACTTCCCTGAATACCCCACCAAGAAACAGTTCATAGACTACCTCGAATCCTACGCCAGACACTTCGAGATCAACCCGAGGTTCAACGAGTGTGTGCAGTGCGCCAGGTACGATGAAACCAGTGGCTTGTGGAGGGTCAAAACCGTTGCCACGTGTGGCGCCGTGAGGAACGAGTTTGAGTACATTTGCCGGTGGCTTGTGGTGGCCACTGGCGAGAATGCTGAGTGTGTGGTGCCTGAGATTGAAGGGTTGGGGGAATTCAAAGGTGATGTCATTCATGCCTGTGAGTACAAGTCTGGGGAGAGTTTCAAGGGGAAGAAAGTGCTTGTTGTTGGTTGTGGCAATTCTGGAATGGAACTCTCGCTTGACTTGTGCAACCACAATGCTTCTCCGTCAATGGTTGTTCGTAGCTCGGTAAGTTCTTCACATGCTTCTTCTACTTTCTTATAAGGATCCACCATTCTTTGTGTTATACACAGATATCAGTCATTGTTGGTGGAAACTAGTATCACTAATCGACCAACAATGACTGACAGCTGATATCAACTATTATCATTCAAAGATGACTAATAATTGTGTTAGTCATCGTTGGATGAAGCTAGCTTCTTACCGTTGTTTTCGCCCAACAATGACAAGTGATAATCATTGTTGGACGAAGCTAGCCTTGGATGTAAAATCATGGATGTGTTGAAATATCAAACCTTTTAAGGGATTATTTTTATTGATGCTTTCAACAAAGGAAAAAATTGATTTTTGAGGATGGTGATTAAATGGGGTTGTTCTGTTTTTGGATTGGCAGGTTCATGTGTTGCCAAGAGAGGTATTTGGGAAGTCAACGTTCGAATTGGCGGTTTTGATGATGCAATGGTTGCCAGTTTGGCTTGTTGACAAGATCCTATTGATTTTGGCATGGTTGGTGCTGGGTAACATGGAGAGATTCGGGCTCAAGAGACCTTCAGAGGGTCCATTGGTGTTGAAGAACACAAAGGGGAAGACCCCTGTTTTGGACATTGGTACCTTGGACAAAATCAGATCCGGTGACATAAAAGTTGTGCCAGGAATTAAGAGGTTCACGAATGGTTGCGTTGAGCTTGTTAATGGGGAAAAACAAGATGTTGATGCAGTGGTGCTTGCAACCGGATACCGCAGCAATGTTCCTTCTTGGCTGCAGGTGAGAAATTGTTTCTGTTTGGAAAGAAAAGTGTCAATAGAAAAGAGATTTTTTTGTTTTATGATAATAATTATTATTATATAGTTATATTCATGGTTATAGAAGATTGTCACTTGTCAGCCTTAAAAACTTTTTTGGGTTTGTCCTTTTTTACGACACTTTTATATTTAGAAGCTGATTTGTTTTGGCCTTTTTTGAATAGTGACTAGTATTTTATTTATTATTATATATATGTTAATGGGGCAGTGAAATAATGTGATTTTGGCTATGTTGTGTGCAGGAAGGTGAATTTTTCTCCAAGAATGGTTTCCCAAAGTCACCATTCCCAAATGGTTGGAAGGGAAATGCAGGGCTTTATGCTGTTGGGTTCACAAGGAGAGGGCTCTCTGGTGCCTCATCTGATGCTATGAAAATTGCTCAAGATATTGGCCAAGTTTGGAAACAAGAGACTAAGCAAAAGAAACAACGCACCACTGCTTGTCACAGACGTTGCATTTCTCAGTTCTGAATCAGTGAATTGCACTAACTATACAAGCAGTGTTGTTTCTTTTAGCTAGGAATTTGTTGGTGTAAAAACAGAATCACAATATCTTTGTAAAAATACAGATAAAAAAAGATACATGAATAACTGATAGCACAGAGATAGAGCCCTCTCCAGAGGCCCAAATTTTGAGTTTCTTTTTGGGCCTTGCTTTTGGAAACCAAGGATGATGAGGCTTTTTGATTTTTATGATTTCTTTTCCTATATTCATACGGCTTATACATGTACCATACTTCATTCATCAAGTTAAATCATACAATTTCATTTTCAATCTCTACCTTGTCTTCACTCTTTTCTTTATTAAGATTTGTAGACAATTTTTGTCTGTTTACCCTTTCTTTTAGCAAAGGAACTTATGTAGGTGATTGGAAGTGTTTTTTTTCCATGACACACAAACTTTGTCAACAAAGACTAATGAATATAAAGTTGGTTGGTTGAGCCCAAATTTAGTGGCAGCCAACATTTATTGGTCAAATATGGAAACCCAAAACTTGATGAAAAGAAAAAGGAAGAAAAAGTCACCAAAAGCTTTCCATTTTTAGGCTTCATTTAGATTTTTGAGTCCTTTCCTCTTTGCTTCCATCGATTAGACTTTCTCCAATAAGATTGAGACTAGGACTATAATCTAAGTGAACAATTTTCATATAGACTTTCTCAACTTGTTGTAGATTTAAAGCAGCTAACCAACAAATTTGATGCAAAATTCCTCTTAGCTGGTTGAGTATCTCATGATGGATCTTCATGTGATGTAAGGTTCATTATCATGTTGATATTAACACATAGGAGAATAAGATGTTCTAACTTATAATGGCCCACAACTTAAACTGTCTTTTCACTAAATAGTAGAGGTTATATCCTATAATGGCCCACAATTTAATGTTTGTGACAACTTGTAGGGCTCAACACCATCGCCCCCATCACATCTTTCTCTCTCTCTGACTTAGGAATTAAATCCAATTCAAAGATGGTTACATAACAATATTCCTGTTAAACAATATATACATTGCTATATTGGATTTGACCCACATGTAGAACTGTAAGTCATTCAAACAATTGTTGCACTGCACATGCTTAAAGCTCAATTAGAAGAATCAAACCCTTAATATAAATTGCATTCAAATCATTTCTGTAAAGCATAATTCCTAACTAGAATCCAGTTCACACAACTTGTGACCTAATTATTAAGTCATGTGTAATGAGTGAGTTGTTTAAATTTTATTTCATTAGTATAATTAATCTTAAGGTTCAATTCATTATCGAATTTAAAATTCAAGGGTGCAACTTTCAATAAGAGCAGATCGATAAGATTATGTAAGAATTTGGGTTCAGATGGAAGAACACGTGACAAAGTTATAACCATTGATCAATTGTGGAAAAACCAATTGAAAAACTGGGTCTTGATTCCAAGGCCTAAGACTCTGACCAATGGCACTAGCTAGGTCACAAAGAGCATGCATTTGCAGTAAAACTAACTGCATTTTACCAGTTCTTCGTATATAAAATGAATGTCTATCATCTATCAAAGACTAAAGAAAGTTTGACATAAACAGTAAATATTTCAGAGTAATGTACAAAATACACTGCACAATTACGCCCCTAAATAATTTATAGAAGACCTAAAAATTATAGGTACATGACTCATGCATGGAGTTAACAAGTTAAGAGTTAAGACTATATACATAATCCGTGAAAGCTTCAAATTTTGAAACTGCTCTGCTTTTACCTAACCAATTAATGTCATATACACCTCAGAAAGACATGTACTTATTTGAATATGATTTAATTTAAATAGTGTAAAATCTAATCATAAATTGTTAGGTATAACAAAATTATTGAGTTATGTAATAACTAATTTAAAACTCAGATCTATAATTGATTAGTTGACGAGTAAGTGACCATACATAAAAATTAAATTCATTTAGAAAATCCGACTATTCTTTAAAGTAGGGGAGACATTTCAAAAGAAAATTAGATTAAACACTAATTAGTACTCCTTAGTTGATGATCCATGGTAAACTCTTCTCCCACAAGTTTTCCGATCAATAACCAATAATAGTAAAATTAAAGATTTAAAAAACTAAATTAGTGGGAACTAAAAGATATAAGGAAAGGGCAATAGATCCTCTACGGTGATATTTTAACTGAACGAGAACTTAACCATTCAAAAAAGAATTAAACATGATATATTTTTATTATAAAATAGAGATTTAAAATATTTAAGGAAAATATTTTAATACTTAAGAATCTAAATTTTATTTCCATTTAAGAGAATATCATCACAAAGGAAATATAAGTGCAACCTACAATTAATATTGGATGGTTGATTGATTACTTCTTAGTCCTTCCTTATGACCTAAATCTAAATCTAGTTACCAAATAATGTATAATTTTTCATTAAGTGCTTATATTAATAAATTTTTCTAAAAACACTCTTAGAAAAAATAATTAAAATAATTTTTTTATGAGTTAAAACTAACTTATATATAAGTTGAACAAAAGTTTTTGAAAAAGTTAATATGGGAAAAGTTTTACAAATTAGTTTATACAAAAATTCATTTTACTTTTCTTTCTTATTTTATTTTTCTAAAAGTGTTTGTGTAAAAATTTATCCAAACATGTATATCTCTAAAACTTCAATACCTCTTCACACGTAGAATGCGTCACTCTAGTACTTGAATCTCTTTTATAAGGGATATGTCTCATTCTTAACTCTATTGAAATACAAAAAGAAATGAGAAGTGTTTAATCTTTCACAGCAGCATATTACACAAGTTGAAGCATGAACAAGTTATGGGATGTCTCAACAAGGCTTAATAAGATTAATGCACGGATCAATGATTGCCAATAAGTTGTTGAGTGCATTAAGTGTCTTAAGTCACATTTATAGTCTAGTGTAGAAGTTAGAATGTGGGGAATAGTTAGTGCCATATTTAATACTGCAAAACCAAGTTATTATACACTTAATTAATCAAAGTCTTAATCAATTATCCTGACCACCACCAGATACTCAATTAATAGTCTTAAGGACACTTTTCTGAGTTGTTGCATGAAGAAAGTTACCCTTTACATCTTATACTGAATTATTTTATCTTTAAAGCTAATGCATACTTCTAAAAAACTTATTAAATACACCAATTGTTGTGATAAAGCTTTTTCTTGCCAAAATAACAATACTAAAAGGGATAGAATACAATTGTGAGTTATTTAAATATTTAAGTATAATACCAAATTGATAAACATGAGAGATGGGACTCACAGAGAGGGTAGTGATTACAAAACAATTAATGTAGTTGATTACTGTTGCATGCTAGAACTGATAATCGATTACACAATCATGCTAGCCAATTATTGATCGAGCTTATTTTGAAGAGAAAATGAAATTTGAATAATGCATATAGCTTTCACATAACCTTTGTAATAGGAAAATAATAAACATTAATCTCATTTTTTGGTGAATTAAGGTATAAGAAACAGAGAAAACGTAATAAATATAATAAGTGATGTGATAGAAAAAGGAAAAAAGAAAATGTAAATGAGTGAAATAAAAAATAAATAAACATGCGTTTATAATGAAACTTACTAGTATTGTCCATGTAGCCAGTAACTGATTATTGGATTGATAAAAAAAATTAGTAATCAAATACAAGAAACATGCAATTAATTACTACACAGTGAAAACAAATTTTTGAATAGTCGATCAAGCATTATTGCTAAAAGATTACCAACCGTGGTAATATAACCAACAACCAAACAAGTCATTCACATTTCAGGTTCTGGAGCAAGATTTTGTAAAATCAAACAAGGTTTTTCCAAGATCAAAAGCCATAAAGTTGAAGGATTTTGAACTGGATATGAAAACCAGCCAAATTTGAGCCTAATGAGATATCAAGAATTGCTTTAATTACACATGCAAGATCCTGTGTCCTGTAAATTTATTGTCTTGAAACATCCTTGAACTTGGTCTTAGTCATTGCTCTATTTTCATCAAAAACCTTCGTGTCAAATATGGGCCTTTAGAAACCTTTTTTTTTTTTGAAATAATAAATATGAGCCTTTAGAAACTACTTCGTTTGGTGTTACATCAATCAAAGAAAAGGAATTTACATCCGGTTTTCAAGATATTAAAATGCCAAAAGTGGAACAGATAAGAACCACTGTTCTAATGAAATTGTCTTCATGCTCAAATATAAGTGATTAATACTCACACATCCACCTTGTTAACAGGGGCAGAGTTACACAGTTTTGTATATGTGCCAAAGAGAAATAATATCATTAAGGGTCCCTCAAGCACAAGGACTCCTTGTGCTGCCCATGCTTGTTAAGAATTCCCTTGACACCTCTATTACAGGAACTGACAAAACAACACTCCAAGAATTTCTTTCTTATTCCATAAATTTCACTGAGTTAAGAATCTGAGAATCATCTAGAAAATGTTCAAGACAACCAACCTAGGGAATCCTACTAACAAATTGGCAATTTTGTCAAATACTATACTACTGTTCATAAATTAATTGAAACTTGGACAATTTTGTCATGAATTCATATTGTAGAATGTATTAGTAACCAACATTGGTGTGTAGTGATGGACATTGGACACATACACAATGTGCAAGGTTATATGCCTTTGCTGAGACACATTCATATGTGAGGGCTTACTATGTTTACAAGAATATATCGTAAACACACAAAATACTGCAAATATGTGTCCCCACACATAGAATCTAATTGTTTAGAAGCTTGACAGTGCTGATATATGACCTAGTTCACCTTCTCAAACAGGACTCAACAAGTAGAAACAGCCCATATGAGTGCCCATGCTAACTTATTCAAAATAATTTAAGTAAGATTTTGAACTGAATGGCCCATCTAAATTCTTCACCTCACCAACCCCAAATTAGTTAGACATTCAGTTTTCTCCAAACATGGCTGCATTTAACAGCACCAATTTGTCTTGTTTCTCTTGGCTTTATTGCATGTTTCTGACCTCTTCTCATTGGAGACATTCACTGATAATAGCATTAAAAATACACACATGGGATGATTACTATTCTTCTTCACCACAAGGGCCCATCATTCTCCTGCTTTCTCAGATTATACTAGCTGCTAATGTGAGAAACAGAACTTGTTCTCTTCACATGCTAGTGTCCACAATGGACTTGAGCAGGTGGACCTAAGAAAATCCACAAAAACATACCCCTCTTATGGGTCGGGGTTGGGGCTGAGGAGTGAGGACTATAGGCATTAGA